CCTGGCTATGGACGGCATAAAATATTAGGGAACTCGTGCTAATTTTTTTAGGTGTAATAATGATACTGTGGTTATGAAGGAGGATGTCTTGGTTCTTAAGAGAGGCAGTTTAAAATTCACAGAAGTACTGTGATGACTGCAGCGTAGGAAGTTGTTCAGTAAAAGAAAAAAAATGTCAGGATCAAGTTAACATGTCAACATGTCAACCATTTTTGAATCTAAGTGGTGGGGACATGGGTGTTCTGTGCGCTATTTTTTCAGTGATTCTGTGTTTGCAATTTTTCATGATACAAAGCTGGAAAACAATTCACCTATATGGGTGCCCCTCTCTTATTACAGGCTTTTGTTCTAAGTCCCAACTGTTTTTAGATAGAATGGCATTTTTAGGAAAGGACTCAGCACAACAAACTTCTACTAAAACAGTGAAATGCCTTTGTGATGGAAAGAATTAGAAAAAAAAAAGCAAAATGCACAAATCTCTGGAATCCATGCTAATCAGATTTTATTTGTTTAGGTCACATCACTTCAGCAACTGCGTGAAAAGATAACCCATTCTGCTTCCAGACTGTATTGTGCTTATCAGTGTTTGAGAATGCACACATACTGAGTAAAGGCAGTATAATGAATAGATCTGTTGCTAAAATATTTTTTATTTTTTTACCTAGAGTATCCAGCATACAGAAACAATTCCTTTTAAATTATAAATTTTGAGTGTTAAAAGCAGTTACATTCACTGCAAAAAATATCCTGTTTCAAATGCTTCAGAGGAATACATTCTGGGTTGCCTGGTTTCTTTGCTATTTTATACTTTGCGCTTATGTATTCTGCTTCGTTCTGGGAATCAGAAGCACTTTCCCGAACGGCATACCCAGCAACTAGAACAGCTTCCACCTTAGCTCACAAACTTGACAAATAACAATTCCGAGGCCCAGGGACTTGTACCAGGTCTGCTATGTGAAACTGAGGCGGTCAGGGCTTCCCTGTATCTGAGTTTCCTTATGTTTAAAACGGTAATAACAATGATCCTACCTGGGATGAAAGATGGGGGAGGGTTGAGAGGGTCCAATGGTATCATGTAAAAAGGCTTCACAATGTAAACCGTAGACCACTACAGCCCATGGGCCAAATTGAGCTGTTGTTTTTGGAATAAATAAATACAGCTTTATTGGAACACAGCCACTCTGTGTTTACATATGCTCTATGGCGACTTTTGTACTAAAGTTGAGTATTATAGTTACTATAGACCATATGGACTGCAAAAACAAAAGTATTTACTATATGACCCTGCACAAAAAATGAATTGCTGACCCCCCTGTAGACCGCAATGGGTTTTTAACAACCCACAAGTGTGTGTTGACTGATCGATCTCACAGTCAGAAAGGGCCTTTGGAGAACTTGGAGTTGACTGTCATCACTGCATATAGATCAAACCTGTGGCCGAGAAGGGTAAAATGGTATGTCTAAGGTCACAAAGATTTGACATGGTCTTCTGGAACACAGCACTGCTACCACCCAGCCAAAATTAAGAGAGGTGGGATGGAAGTTGAGGACAGTGAGGCCATTTGGGCCCAGACTCAAGTTCGAATGGCTGGCGTTCAGTGACCACTTTGTGAAAAGGGGACAGAGAGAGCCTCATAACTGAAACTTATCTGTGCCTGTAGCAGCAAAATCTGGGAGTGGGAAGCCAGTTTCCAAGAGCCCAAGGAGCCTCTAAGCAGGTATCCTGTAATGATCTAGGACTCCTCCATCACCCCAGTCCACTGCAGGGGCTGAAAGAGGGGCGATGGCGGTGGCTAATTTTTACTGAGGCTTAGTATGTACACGATAAAGTCTTTCATGAACTTACACAATTTCAGCTGATCTTCACAAACACCATATGGAACAGGTAATATGCCCATTTAAAGCTATAAATGCTGAGGCTCACAGAGATTAATTGCCTTGTTCAAGGTCACACAGCTGCCAAGAGGTGAAGCTGAGACTCGGCTAGGTCTGTTTGACCCGGAAACCTATGTTTTTAATATCATGCTACACGGCACAGCCCCTTGGTGACAGGCCTGAGGAGGGCACATAGCTGGTAAGGAGACCTTAGCTGGGGTTCAAATCCTGGTCCACGATTCCCCATGGCTTGTGGGTAGAGTCCAGAACTGCATTTTCCAACCCGCCAAAAGTTTCCTGCTCTTAAGTTCTTCAGCCCCGACTCATCTCTCCGAGCACCCTGAGGTCTTGAAGAGCTGGTTAGGGCTCCCGTCTCATTCCTCCAGGGCACCCCAGAGTAGGGTTCAGCCCCCTCCAGAGGAGGCAGGCGGCCCTTAGCCGCCCCTTGGCGCCCACCCTGGGCGGTTGTTAGCCCCCTCTGGGAGCAGCAGGGCCTCCGCACCGGCTGCCACCAGCCCGCCGGGCTCCACCTACCTGCCGCGGGGCTGTCAGGGTCCCATCCACGTCGAAGAGGCAGAGCGCTGGGCCGGACGTCGCCATGACGCCGCTTTCTACCCGCACCTGGCAAGACTCGTTGGCACCGGGCAAGACTCGTTGGCACCTGGAAACTCGACCCGGAACTTCCGGGGTCGGCCCCTACACCGCAGGGCACGTCGGGAGGAGGAGTAGCCACTCCCACAATGCCTGGGACCTGCGCCAGCCACAGTCGCCAGATCACAACTCCCAGACTGCAACGCGTATTACGTGCTCCCCGTACACCGGAGCGTGCGCGCTTGGAGCTTCCGGGGCAGATGGGATTTACTTCCGGCAGCGGATCGCGGGGCCATGGTAAGAAAGCAGGTGTTGGGCCTGGAGGGAGTGACACGTTTTGGAGGTCGGGATCGGGTTTGGGGCTGGGGCAGGCAGGCAGGACGCATGGGTTTCTGACTTGGAGAGTCCGCGGGAGGACGCTCCGGTGTGGGTTAAAATTTTCTATTCCCCGTCTTTCTCTGCCCTCGGGTAACGTGGGCTAGCAATAGTGGTCGCTCAGACTCGCTGTGCGCTCACCGTGCATCAAGTACGAAGTTGAGGGCTTTAAAACCATCGTCTCGTTCAGTATCTTCCGAGTCCCCGTTTTGAAAGGCGAGGAAACGGAGGCTCAGAGAGATGGGGTAAGTTGCCCAAGGGTCCACAGCTAGTGACTGCTGGAGCCAGGATTGGAAGCGATGTCTAATTCCAAAGCCTTTCAGAGCTTTTTCTGCTGCACTCCTCACCTAATAAAATCCCTGTGCTGCGAGTCGGGGCCTCCCTGACTAACTCCTCTTCCTCTCCTGTTCCTCCTTCCCCAAACTAGGGTAAGAGAAAACAGTTACCTCCAGCACCCAAGATAATGCATAAACCAGGCAGAAAATTGGAGAGTTATTGTGATAAATACTTCACGGATTTGTTGCTCGAATTCCCCACTAGGACATTGATTATTTTGTTTTTTGCTTGGAGCAATGTTCACACAGTCTTGTCGATCCAATGTCCAGCCCACAGTTGGTCCTCCTTAGGTATTTGTTGAGTAAAGACTTGCACTTCTTTTCATATAGTTACTTGGAACTGCCTAGAGGAAAGAGGACCAGTTTGAAAATCAGACTCTGCTACACTCACTGGCTGTGTGTCCTTGGGTAAATTTCTTACCCTTCCTGGGCTTAGTTTCCTTAGTGGTAAAGTGGAAATGATACCTGTCTTGAATAGCTTTTGTATGCTCACGTGAGATAAAGCATCTGGCTCTACCTTTCCTTCCTCTGGCTATAATGGTGATCTCTAAGGACTGGAAGAACCTCTGTGTGCAATGCTTTGTCGATGTTCATTGTGTGATTGGCGTGGTTGAGTTCCATGAGAAATGGTCTCCTGTTTTTCTTTCAGGCTGCCCTCCTCCGAGCTGTGCTGAGGTTGCGGGGGCAAGGGCCAGCTGCATGGGGAAGGCCTCTTCATGGGCTGTGGTGCTGCAGTGGGCAGGAGCATCACAAGAGGTGGGTGGGGAGCAGGTCACCCACCTCGAAGGAGAAACCACCAGGCACAGAGACTGAGAAATTCCAAATGGTCTATCGTTTTGGTGCCATAAGGTCCTTTGGGTATGTGTCTCGGCTAAAGGTGGCACAGACTGCCCTGACAGTGGTGGCCTTGCCGCCAGGCTTCTACTGCTACTCCCAGGGTGTCTTGACTTTCAACTCCCTGTGCCTCATGAGTGGGATAGCCGGCTTTGCCCTGGCCATGCTGTGTTGGATGAGCTATTTCTTCCAGAGACTGGTGGGCATCCTGTATGTGAACGAGTCTGGCACTGTGCTACGGGTGGCTCACCTGACCTTCTGGGGCTGGCGGCAGGATACATATTGTCCCGTGGCGGATGTGATGCCCCTGACGGAAACCAAGGACCTGCCCCAGGAACTGTTCGTGCGTATCAAACAGTACAGTGGGAAGAAGACCTTCTACCTCACCCTGCGCTATGGACGGATCCTGGACAGAGAGCGTTTCACACAGGTGTTTGGGATGCTGGACAGGTGCAGATGAACAACTGGCAGCTGGGCCTCTGGGTGGATCTGGGCTACTGGATCTCTTACAGGAAGGCCAAGGGTGTGGGCAAGGCTGAAGAAGGGGATTGAGTTCCCGGAGAGTTTGCCCCTAGGAACTTGTCTTTAGGCACGAAGCAACTCATGAGGCAGAAGCTGGTAACCAGGTTTAGGGAAAAGACTCTTCATGCAAATTCTTAACTGCACTTGTGTATGACAGATAACGCTGGAAGTTTCTGTTAAGAGCCAGTTCTTGGAGGAAGTTGTGCCAAGGTCACCCAGACTGTCTGCTGCTGGGAAATCGGAAGACAGAACTGTGGGAGGGGAGCATGGGATTTGGAGTTAGAGGCTTGGGTTCTGTCAGTGATCAGCTCCCTGTCCCGGGGCAGGTTATTGAGTCTCACTGAACCTTGGTTTTCACATCTGTAAAACGGAAAGTCCTGCCTATCTCATGGGATGGGTGTGAGAATAAACAATAAATGTCAAGTGTTTTGCAGGCTCAGCAGCCCAGAGCAAGTTTGAAGCATTTGGTCAGAGGCTATGGTATGGTAAAAGGTTTCCAGGCAGTCCATAGGGATTTCCAGAGCCCTGTGCTGTGCCCCCTCCTATACCCAGCTGCAGAAGGGACGGGGATGAAGCCGAGAGTGGGGGCCATTTCATCCCACCGGGATGGTAACTGCACGCAGACACAGGCAGGAATGTTATCCAAGTGAGCACGACACCCAGCTGAGATTTTGTTCACCACCCAGAGTCTAGGGGCTCTCAGTTTGGAAGGCTTTGCAGTGTAGTCAAGCCAGATCAGGAGGCTGAGGCCTGAAGATCGCTTGAGTTCAGGAGTTCCAGCCTGGGTGGCAGAGCAAGACTTTGTCTTTAAAAATAAATAATTAAAGCCAGATGGACTGTATGCTGGTGCGTTATTTTATAAATTAAAGCCAGTTGTGTGCGGTGCCCCCTATAATTAATAATGCATGTTAATTATACGATTTCTAAAATTGAAGAAGAAGGAAGGTTTGATCTTTATTATTTTGCCACTCAAAAGTCAATAACTAAATGTTTTATTGTGTAGCCTTCCAGTTTTTTTTTAATTGTAGTAAAATATATGTAAGTTTATCCTTTTAACCACTTTTAAGTGTACAATTCAGGGCCATTAAATATATTTATAATGTTGTGCTACCGTCACCACTATCTATTTCCAGAACTTTTTCATCATCCCAAACAGAACCTGTGTACCCACTAAACAGTAATTGACCCCCTCCCCCTAGCCCCCGGCAACCACTGATTTACTTTCTGTCTCTTTGGATTTACCTATTCTGGATATTTCATATAAACAGGATCATACAATGTGTCTCCTTTTGTCTTGGCTTCTTTCACGTGGCATGATGTTTTCAAGGTGCATCCATGTTACAGCATGTCTCAGTGCTTCATTGCTCTTTTATGGTTGAATCATACGGGGTTTATGTACCACATTTTGTTATCCATTCACCTGTTGATGGACATTTGGGTCGATTCCATCTTTTGGCTATTGGCTATTACTGTAAACATTGGTGTACAAGTTTCTGTTTGAGTCTCTGCTTTCAGTTCTTTTGGCTACATAACGGAGCGGTGGAATTACTGGATCCTCTGGTAATTCTGTGCTTAACTTTTGGAGGACCTGCCACTTTTCCACAGTGGCTGCAGCATTTTACCTTCCCACCAGCAATGTACAAGGGTGCCAGTTTCTCTACATCCTTGCCAATGGCAGTTACTTCCCATTGTTTTGGTAATGGCCATCCTAACGGGTGTGAAGTGGTATCTCACTGCGCTTTCAGGCTTTTCATAGAAATTATACTGTTCCTGGGATTGTTTGGGTTTTTGCTTCATGTTGTAACACCAAGCTGCCTCATATCCTGAATATTAAGAATATTCTGGAATTGCAAAATATTCCACTGAGTGGATGTAGCTGGTGCTTTTAACCTGTACTATTTAGGTTATTTCCATTTTTTCATTATTATAAAGAATGTGATAAATATCAAATATATATTGTGATATCCTTCTTCCGTGGAGACTAAAATGGCCTTTTGAGAAAAGTGACTTATAATCAAGGTAACACGAAGTTAGATTTTCTTGGTTAATGTATTTCATTTCTGAGAAGCAGGTAAGGCTTGTATTAATAATTCAAGACAGTCTGCAGGCTTCCGAATCAGTCATTCATTCATGCCACCCAACACTCTTGAGTATCTGCCTTGTGCCAGACACTGCTTGGTTAATTACAGAGGTTAATAGGAGGATTTTTGCCTTTGTGGAGCTTTCAGTGGAGGTCTTGGCGGGGGCCACAGGGAGGAAGAACAGACGTTAAAGAAGTAAATGCATGTAGTTACAGACGGTGACCAGTGTAATGAAGGAGGAAGAGGATTTGGGGCTGGATGTTGGGAGAGGCATGGAAGGCCCTGGGCGGAGACATTTAAGCAGAGACCTGAGGTGCAAGTGGGAGGTGGCCTCGAGCTTGTTTCAGGTGCAGGGAACAGCACACGTGTGCTTCTGTGCTGCACAAGAGCTTGGCGCATTTGCTAAGAAGAACCTGAATTTTATCCTAATCACTGTGGGAAGCCTTTGAAAGTAAGAGAAAGGAAAGAGAACAGTGAAAGTAAGTTTGGGAGTTTTTAAGAATGAGAAGAAACAGCTCCTTTTAATTTTTATTTTTCAGTTGAAGATATAAATGAAAGGGCATAGGCTTATAGATATGTTTCATTGGTTGAATTCTCACTGCACGTTAATTCCTGCCAGCCGGAGAGAGTGGTCTGGGGAGTGAGTGTGACAGGGCCCCTCAGGTGCTTGGAGGCACTGGGCGTCCACTGTCCGTGGGGGTACATTTGTGGTTTTCCCAGCCCGAGGGGCTGTGTGTGCAGGAGCAGCTCTTGGCCGGCGTTGATTGAGTGGGTGTTGCCCAGAGCCTGGGGGTGGGCCTCAAACCCATTCCCAAGTGCTGGCTCTTTCTCCAGGCTGAATGACATGTGTTATGGTTTTATGATGGCCCTACTTTAAAAATATGACCAGAACCTGACCACTTCTCACCCC